GATATAAATAAAAATATATTATTTTGGACATATGATATGAAACTAGTTATAAATACCAATGATTTGGGTTTACAAAAATAAAACCAAAAAATCTATCATTTTTTGTAAAAATTAGGGTTTTCTAACAAAAATGATAAAAATGGTCATAACCAGGTTATGGTATCATTTTTGTGAGATTTGATCTAAAATATATTGTTTTAAACATATAAGGTTAGCTTGAATTAAACTTCACAAAAACATTAAAAAAAATCACAAAGTTTATATTTCAATATTTAACGTTTGATGATGTAAAAAGTCAAAAATTAGAAAACTGATTTTATCATACTAATAGTTCATATAGTTGTGTTAGATGTATAATATGTGTTATTTATGAAAATATAAACATGTTAACTTATACATATGTGTATATATAGGTACAACGAAATATTTATAATAAACTATAACAGGTGTAGTTTATGAGTCATTAACACTATTGTAACATTTTGGAACAAAAGGAATAATTATATAAAAGTATATAATTATTATACACTATATTAATACTATGGAAAAGTGATATTTACACTTACAAGGGTTTTCATTACGCAAAACGTAAACTTGTTGAAACAATTATGTAGGACAAAATCTTCACCGTACCTACCAGAATACACACTAAAGTCCTGAATTATCATCAGAATCTTTGTAAGGGAGCGTGATACTTGTGTATAGATCTATACGGGACTAACAATCCCGCACCTAAGTTGCTATCTACAGCTAGACCGACAGGTCAGGGTGACAAATGTCTAACATTCCGACGCTTGAAGAATATCAGAGCAAGCCAACTTCGGTTTTAGCATGGTTGTAATAACTCACATGGGAAATCAACGATACATTAAATTTACGGGGTAACATGCATTCAAATGGTTTTATATAAGAATAAAACTACGTGATACTATTTTAAGTATAGAAATACTGACACATTTTTGGTCCTAGGGATTTTAAGACTACAACTCATTTTTAAGAAAATATTGGATTTTCTGGGGCAAACACTATCATTTTACAAGGAAAGAATTACAGATTTTTCTCATACAAAAGTCTTATGAACTCACCAACTTAATTGTTGATACTTTTCAAAACTAATTGTATTCTCAAGAAACCGTTAAACAGATAGTCACAAGGCTTTTGAAGATTGGACGTTACGACGTCGTACTATTCATTTTGTCATCATAATGTAATTGGTTTTGAAACATACAATACTTGGAAACAATGTCACATTCTCAATTATATTTATGATGGTTGTGTTTTGTTTGAATCACTATTGTACATTATGATCAATTATATTTATGATGGTTGTGTATGCTTTGAATCACCATTGTACATTATGTTGTAATATTGTTTATAAAGTCATCCACCCTCCGACGTTTTCGCCATTTTGATTTGGGGGTGTGATAGTTCGCTAAAAGTAACTAAACGCTCCTTTCACCGAATGAAGTTTTTTCTTTTTCGCGAGCTAGTAGCGAGAAGCTCTCAAACACTGCATGTCACGCCCAATATACTTTTATCGCGGATTACCTTGTTATAATATAGAACATAAATATAATTCGGCATTCCAACAAAAAGTTATTTAACTTTTGTTTAAAAATATATATTTTAAAGATCCACGTTATGAGATTTATATTCTTTGTAAAAACATTTACTTCGGCAAGTCATCGGGTACTAAAATGTGTGCTCTTGAATATATAGACCGGCCCGAAAACAATCAAAGAATATTGAAACTTGCGTTTTGGAAAATAAGGACCATGAAAATTTGATTTTAAATATCTACTCACTACAAGAAATATGGGTATTAGCGGCGACAACCGTCGCCGCAAAAGAGTAGGTTTGTCGTCGCTAAAAGTATTAGCGGCGACGCGTCGTCGCAAATACGTCGTCGCTAACGTTTCGTCGCTAATACCCTTCTTGTCGCTGTTAATACTTACTTGTCGCTACTAAAAACCTATCGCTGCTAATACTTATCTGTCGCTGCTAAAAACTCGTCGCTGCTAATACATATATGTCGCTGCTAAAAGCATCGCTACAAAAGACTTTTCATTTTTTTTTTTTTGTTACAATTTTATGGAATATAAATCTACAATTTTATAAAATCAGCTATATTTAACCCATACACAACCAAAAACAATATAACAATTATAAAATATTAATCCACAATCAAAAATATTAGTCCATACAACCTAATTAAAGTATTCTTCTAAACAAACATTTCATAAAATCCTAAAATTCCTACTCCTCGCCGTCACTCTTATCATTTTCTTCATTATTTGGTGATGACAATGAACGAAACCATTCTTCTAATGCCGCAGAACATGCCGGGTCCTTCAGTATCGTTTGCAGCATTTCCATCTATAAAGAAATCAAAATATATTACCAATATATCATAATAGTATTATATTTTTCAAAAACTACCAACATATCATTATAGCATTATAGCATTATACTTTTCAACTTAAACAAACAATTACCTGTGATTGTGGTGGTTCTTGTGTCATCGGTTCTTCTTGATCATACATAGACACAATGGTATGGGGTTTACGCCCAATGCCTCTAATATGTCCGCGTCGAACACCCAATATTTTTTCAAAACATTTTCTTGTATCACTTGGCGTTAGACCGCTTGCTGAAGAAGAAGCTTGGGTTTGATGATTGATCTCCTGAAGTAAAGCATTCTGTATTTTCAAAAAATGATAAACATCATAAAGATATATTATTAAATACCCATGACGATATAAACACGTATATGAAATAAAAATTAACCACTTACGTATTGTTGCTCGACTGCACGACTATAAAACACCCCTTGGCGATTGGAATTAGCCTTACGGAATGCTTCGATTCGAGTGATATCATATTTAACAAAAAAAAAAATAGATTTATTATACTTTACATAAACATTTAAATATATCATAACTTAATTCTTTGAAGCATGCATTACTGTACGAGTTCGACCCCCCTCTGTTTTCAACTAGTTGTTTTGCACGAACTTCTTTGTTTGACGCTGAACGACTTAAAAATTCGGGCGATTGAAAATGTTCGACTGCCTTCGCCCAATTTTCTAGTGACATACCATTGGGGGGTTGTTTAGTGCCATTGGGATATCTGCAGGCCCCCCGATATCCTTAAAATAAGAATGAGCTTTACTTTTTCGGCCTCTGTAAACTTTTGCAAGACTCGAATCAATGCTCCGCAACAACTGTGCACACTCCGGATCCAAGTTAACCTTATCCAAATCAAACTTATTCTACAAATACAAAAAAGTTTGTTAATTAAATAACAATCACAACAAAACTTAAAATATTATTCAAGTTACCTTTAGATGCATAACTGTCGCATTCCTTAATGCGGGGGAAACATTGTCCCAACCAGATACGTTTAAAGGGACGTTGTTCCACAAATACCTCCCAATTTCATGTGTGAACCAATTAGCAGGCTTCCCGACAGGGGAATATGTGATCTCCCTGTCAAAATTCAAATCCACAGTCTTGCCCTTGTTTTCCCTTATCCACTTCCTAGCTCTATATTCTTTGACAAGCCCCTTCTTTTCTTTGGAAGCTCGACTGAAAAAATACAATTAAAAATATTCATGATAACTTATAATAAATTAATTAAAATAGCTATTAAATATATCATAATAAAACTTATCATCATGTTCATGTTGCCCGCGACCAAAGCGTTCTAGAGATGGTGGATCCCCAGCTCCATCACCACCGTGACCAAGGCCCATAATATCGGCCATCACCTCCGTTACAAAACAATTTATGATTATAAATAACTATATTTCTTATAACTATATTTAATATCTAAATTAATAATAGAAAATTTAATTTAATAGTTTTACAAAGCAATTTATGATTATGAATAATTTTAAAACTAAAATACCACATAAATATTAAATTTGATTTGGAAATTACTCTTTTGTAATATACACACTTTGTTTTTCACACATTACATATATAGATACACACACTATACATACAAATACATATAAACATTTTCTTACACATATTCATTATAGCATCATACTTCTTTTTCTATTATAGCAACCTAATTCCAAATAATAATCATACAAAAAACACACAAAAACATAAAAATACCACATAAATATTAAATTTGATTTGAAAATTACTCTTTGTAATATACACACTTTGTTATTCACACATTACATACATAGATACACACACTATACATACAAATACATATAAACATTTTCCTACACATATTCATTATAGAATTATACTTATTTTTCTATTATAGCAAACCTAATTCCAAATAATAACTATACAAAAAACATACAAAAACATACAAATAACACACAAACAGAATTCCGGCGACAATTCATTCCAAATTCCAAATAATAACCATACAAATAACATACAAAAACATACAAATCAAATATATAATTTCAAAATTCATGAAAAGGAACCTGTGGTAGTGTAATTTAGCGATTTTCCGGTAAGCAGTTTTCCGACAACAATTCTGGCAACAGATTCGGCAAAATTAGATTTTCCGACAAGGGTTCAAAAAACATTAAATTAAACACTTAAACCAGTAAAGAAAACTTCAAAACAGAAGTTGAATAGAAAATAGGGAAGAAATCGAACCTTAAATTGAACTTTTTTTGCCGGAAATGAGTGTGGTCGCCGGTAATAATGGAGCTCCACTAGTGGCCGGCGATAATGGTTGCCGGAGACAAGTCCTGTGGCGCAAACGAGGTCGTCGTGGGAGGTGCAGTCGCCGATTATCGTTGGAAAGATGAAAGGAAACAGAACGAACAGGAAAGTGACGCAGTGGGGGGTTATCTGCGACGAGTATTAGCGGCGACGCTAGGGTTTTAGCGGCGACAATAGGGTATTAGCGGCGACACCCCTGGAGGGAAAACAAAGCGTCATTTTTCCTCATTTCCCACCGTTGGATGAAAAGCAGATTGAACGGACATGGTTGATTTGACGCGGATCGACACTCTTGCATCATTAGCGGCGACACCAACTATTAGCGGCGACATGTAACGCGTCATGTAACACATTTCCATATTCAATAACATCGAGATCACGAATCCAAATCGGAAAACATTTAAAGCTAAAAAAAAATAAAAATTAAAAATAAAAATTTAAAAAAATTTAGAAAAAAAAAAAAAAAAAAAACGACACACGACCATTTTCCCAACAGCATTTTTACAATTGTATAACCTAAAATATTTGTAAAAACAATCTACGGATTTAAAAACATATCAACTTTAATGTTACACGATCTCGAAAGAAATTTCATGCAAATAGGAGGATTAACACCTGCCAAAGCAAGAATCGAACTCAGCAGTGTCCAAACTCCAAATCCCATTGCCACAAATCAACCCCCGAAGCCACTGTAGGCCGAACGCCACCTCCTTCGCCTTATTAAACCTCGACCAAATATACAAAATCAAACTCCCAACACACATATCAATCGCCAAATGCCCACGGATATAAAACGGAATCGCCATCGCCATTGGAATCCGTATAAACCTCGCCCAGTTATTCCCGAGGGAATCACAGATTCCGTTAACGAAATCGCCATCGCCATTGGAATCGGTATAAACCTCGCCCAGTTATTCCCAAGGGAATTACGGATTCCGTTAACGAAAATCACAAACGCAAAGAAGATATAACAAAGCATAAGGCACCGAGAGGGTTACGCCGAAAACCCTTCGACTCTCAGGATCGACATGTTTCGGTAAACCAAGGCATACGGAGCAGGGTACTCGGAACCGGGGATTCAAAGGTTGTCAAACGCTTTATAGAAGACCCAAAATACACGCAGGGAAATGACACATTCCATCGCGGTCCCAACCACCTGGGATACGAACATGGACCGGGGTGACGCTAGTGTCATGTACCCGGTCTTGAAATCCTGCATTAAATCCGACGCGGTGACGAAAATATTCATCATGACACCGCAAGCGGCTAACCCTGCTAGAACCCTACCGTTCTTGTTGCCGACCCATGCTCCGATTTCGAAAATCGTGAGCTTTCTGTAGGTTGAAGCTAACGACCAATCGGTGAGGCCGCATCCGTAGGCAATGCAAAAGGTTAATGCGGGAGAGAAAATGTAAATTGTTGCGATGTACTACCATTTGAGGGGGTGGAACATGTGGAGGGGAGTGGCGGCGGAGACGATGGAGCTGGTGAGGTAGCCGGTGATGGCAATCCATACTGGGATTTGGTCTTTGAGGAATAATTGAGCGCATTTATGATAGGGAGAGGAGGTCGGGGAGAGTTGCCGGTTATAGGGGTGTCGCGGTTGAATCTCTGGTCTTTGAATCGGTGGTATAAGCCGAATAGACTTTCATGAAGTTGTAGAGCCCGTCTCCGAGTAACATGGCTATACCTGATGAATACCTGCAATTACGTAATGCAATTACGTAATGCAATTACGTAATGCAATTACGTAATGCAATTACGTAATACAATTACGTAACAGAAGAAACAAGTTATACTGTGTTTGACGTGCATGAAATTGACATTGACACAACAGGACAAAATTGTACTTTTTTAACCTACCAAAAAAAGGTGGGTAGACAAAATAGGGTTAGAAAGCTTTTTTTGATAAATTTTGGACTGGTTGTGTCATGACAAATGCAGTGTAAAATCTTGAAGTTGAGAAGTTTACCCAGTAACTTTACAAGTCGTGGAGACTGCTTGACTTGAGATTTACAGGATACCAATCGCCTTTTTTTCATTTATGAGTGGCCACATTATACCCCATGAAAGGATTGATCTGACTAGTAAAGATACGTTGATCAAATAAGGGCCAATCATGCCTACACCAATGTAAGTTGCTGAAAAGTCGAAAAAAAAAACCTGGTTTTGATAGAAAAAGAAACTTGTTGACAAGAATATTGCACATAATAAAAGCTAATAACTAAGATTATAATAACAACCATTTTCTAGACTTTTAAAAAATAAAAGTGTCATTCAGTTAAAATCATGAATTTTTTTTAAAAAAAGTCACTAAATCGTATGTTTATTTGTAAGTCCAAGCATCAAGAAAGGAACAACAAAAATATGGCCTAATTGCAAGACATAGCATCCTACTTTCTAAAATCTCTTAATTCCAATCTTTTTATTATAAATGCATAATTATACTATTATGTTTTCAATACTTTTCTTATTTAAACATTTTTTAACAATTCACCCTTGCTAACAATGTTATTATAGAAACAAACAAAAAATGGATACTATAATAAACAAATGAATGAAAATACGTTGCGATTTCATGCATTTAACGATAAAAAAACACATACTTATTTTCATATGCTTAAGACCAAATGTTGGGAAGCTTGAAAATCCACATCCATCTCCACCCGTGAAGAACCACTGAAAGAAGCCCCATAAGAAATTAAAGGAAAAGAATTTACCTAAAGCTCTCACTTGTTTCATGTAGTAATTAATTAAAATCATTGGAGTTAAAAAAAAAAATTACACATGTGTAATTTTTGACTCGATTGACTTTCTCAAGCGACAAGGGATTGATTTTCAGATGGATCACCCCCGTGGGATAAACTACTTCAAGGATTGTTTATCGCGCATGTGTATTGTATGTATCGGGACAACTAGAAGAAGCAAAAGAAATGACACGGCGACTTCTGTGACCCAGTTATGTATATTAGCATTTGATTTTTTTTTTTTTTTTGACATAAAATGCCATCTTTTTGCCTTTGTTCTGTCAATTTCTTTTGATATTGAATTAGGAGACAACTATTCACGTAACTGGGGTGATTTTTAGGAAACTTTCATGATGCATCCTGACTGCTCAATAGAATGCTTCAACCAGGTTTCCAAATTTTCTGTCTAAATCTTTTTATTCAAGTTTAGATTTTTTTTTTTTAATTGACAAGTCACTCTACAAAAATCAGATAACCAATCACCAGTCTATTGGATTAAAACCATGAGCCCATGTGAAGAAAGAATCATTTCATGTAGGTTTCCCTAAACCTGACCTAAAATCATTTCATGTAGGTTTCCCTACGAGTACACTTTCTAGAACCCAAACGAAAACGGATTTCATAAATGGTTATGACTGAAGCATACATTTATGTTGTTGTTGTTGCATGCTGCCAACAAATGGAAGTAAGTTGATATTATTAGCCTTTAATTTTGGTTAAATACTACAATTAGCAACTTTGCGTCCTCTTAATTTTAATATCTTCAATATCATTTGCAAATGTCATTATTTCAAGATAGCAGTCGACAGATTGCATCATTAATGCTACATAATTCATTTTTGTTGCTATATATATGCTTGGCTCTGGGAAAGTAAGCATGGAACAACATTAAGGCCTATAACTAACGCTTTGTTGGATTTTGTTTCATTTGACAAAAAAAAAATTTAACATGATCTGGTGGGTGTATTTTTTATTACAAATGCTACAACCATTTGTTGCAGAGGAGTGAAGGTAATCCATATTATTATATTTTAGGTTTAAATGTAGGTTAATTATTATTATATTGCCTAAAAGTAATGTCGAACTCTTTACCCATAACTTCACTCACCTGATTCTGCGTGGAGGCAAAATGCACATTGGAATTCTTTAATTTATTGTGATTTGAAAATTTGCAAATGGGAGAAAGTGAAAAAAAAAAATGTTCAGATTTGAGACAAAATATGTACTTTTTTAAGAAACTTATTAGAGCTAATTATATTTTTCCTTTTCCACTATTTTAACATTTGGATTCATAATAGTGATGGTTTTCTAACTTGTACGTTTTTAATAAAATGATGTATTTTATATATACTTTATTAACAGATTTAGAGTGAAAAAGGCCATTGGAAACTGAAATTCCAAGGCAACCTACTATCGGCTATGGTAAATAGATCTACTTACTTTTTAATATATAAAATTATATATAAAATAAAACTACTTTTTACTTAATTTAGAGTAGAAAAATAATATATTTTTAAATTTTGTAAACAAATATAATTTTACCATGTTATAAAATACTCATATATCTAAAATGAAATTTCCCTTTTCGGTTGGGCATTGTACAGCCAGAAGCCAATGAGAAGCAACAAACAGAGAAGCAAACTTAAAAAGAAAATCACATCCATCTATCTGTATTGGATTATGATATGATATCCTGCCTACAACTCCTAGTAACCACCTCAAGGGCAAGATATGAATCTTTTGATACTGAAAAATTGTTACTTTTCAATTGGTTTATGTTGATTGTAATTGATGATTTGTTGTTTTTGTTATTTTGAGATGGTTCCGAGGCTATGGAAGTTCATGGGCAAATCAGTCACACACAGCATAACAATATACTTTCTTATGAAAAAATGTTAAAAATAAAAATCTATAAACTACAATGCTATATTTTGCATATTTTCTACAGTTTCATTGTTTAATTTAATAATTCTATAAAATATGTAGAAAAAAAAAAGTTAACACGGCAGAAATGTGACTTATTATAAATTAGTTTTTAAGTCGTGGCAAAATAGTCAAATTTGTTGGCAATTTTGTATTTGTGTTTTATACATTTTTATACATTTCTATACGGCTGGTTAACAATGTAAAACAACATAGAGACTATAAAAATCACAATCAATAATCATACATTCACAAAAAGTTATTTTATACATAATTTGATGTTTTGTACGTAAGTCAATCATCGTTATTTTTAATTTATTAGTATTTAAAATGGTTTCAAAATATTAAAATCATGTTCTATTAAGTCAATATCAATGATAAAAATATAATTTTGCACAATAAATATAAATTTCAAGAGAATGAAAGTAAATAAATAACAATGTACTTTGTATTTTTGATTTTTGATTTTTATGTTTCATTGATAATTTTTATGAAAAAAACACAATAAAAGCCAACGATTACCATTGTTATAACTCCTTAAAATTTTTAAGTTAAATACCCTATTAACAAAAATTTTGAAAGCACCATATTGTAATAAAAAAAAAACACAGTGTTCAAGTTAAATAACATAGAATGAACAAATTAAATAAAATGTCATTTTGACTAGAAATTCCTTTACTATATGTTTTGAGTGTTTCCTCAGGGCCGGCCCGTGGGCATGGGCAAGCTGGGCGACCGCCCCGGGCCCCCAAATGCTACAGGACCCCAATTTTTAACTTGTTATTTTGGTTATATATTAACAGCCCATTACTTTTTAGCCTATTGGACTACTTCAAACCCTAATACTCTGATCAGGAACTAATCCAAAAGATGGAGCATGGGAGAGAACGAGACTTACCTAGTGTGCGTCCTAATTGCAAGGCGTCGTAACTCTTCAACAGTCAGATTTCTATAGAAAATCCAAACATTGCCATGGGAAATCCAAACGACGTCTTCTCCAAAAGCAAGAGTTAACGATCATTCTTCTATTTCTTATTCAAGATTTTAAGTTAATCGATTTCTTTCATTCTTTTCTGATTTTCTGAATTCGTCCACAACAACCATCATTGAGTCAAATGTTATTTTAGAATTGAGAGACTGATTGTGTCTCGTTCTTTTCACGATTTCAGAAAATGGAAAACTCTATTGTTTCCCTTCTTGTTGTCGATTTCCTTTTTCTGATATAGCACCAACGGGAAGTTAATCAGGTTATTTGATTTATTTTAGGAATCTGGCCTAGAGATTTGAATTGGGAGTTCCAGTCACCGCCTCAATTGGATTTCTTTCTCAATTGCTAGAAATTTGAAGGTTCAGTTTTCAGAATCGATTGTTAGAGGTGAAATTGATTTATGATAATATGAATGTGAATCTCTATATGTTCTATCGCTCTTGAAATTTCTTATCTTTTTTTGAAATTCGATTTTTATAAGGATGTTCAAGTTAGAGACATAATCAAATGTTAATATTTTTGAGTTAGAGACAGTTCTTGAATTTCATTGCTTAATTTCGATTTGTAATGTTAATATTTTTGATTAATGAATGGTACTCTTTTTTATTTTTTATTTCTATGTTTTTGATATGTATAGAATTTTCTTGTTGTATTGTTTTTTCAACTACTTCCAGATTATTAATAACAACAAGTATTCTGGATTTAAGCAATTCACCTAACAACTGTTTGTCGATGATAAATCTACTTTAGTTGGAGGTCAACAACTTATGTATAGAAACAAACAGAATTGAACAAGTTAATGAAGAAACAAAGGGGATGTGGCTTTAGTATTTTTGTACTTCTAATAGCATTGTATTTTTAGTTTTCGCGATTCTATGTTGTACAAATTTAAATGTATTGTTATGTATGTATAAAATAGTGTAATATAAGAATACGCAAAATTTTTGAAAAGGCCCCATTTTTTATTTTGCCCTGGGCCTCCAATCGCCTTGGCCCGGCCCTGTGTTTCCTATTAAGTTTTTTATTCATTTTTAAGTTATCCAAATAACAAAAGAAACAAAAATGGTAAAAATAATCAAATTTACTAAAAAAATAAAATTTTTCATTATTAAAAAAAAAAAGATATATTTCAATATTACAAAATTACATTGTTATAAACACTTTGGCACGCTTAAAATTTACAAAAAATGAGCATTTATTTTACCATCTTCACAAAAGTATATTGTTGTAAACAATATAACCATTGGAATATTTTTACTGTCAAAAGCTGACTAAAAATAAAATAACCATTTTAATTTTTACCATTTTCACCGAAGTGAATTGAAAAAAAGCACCCCAAGATTGATTTCCACTCAAAATTTACAAAACGGTCATCTCGTCTAGATGAGAATATTTGTTATTAAAAATGCCTATTGTGACCTTTTTAAACTTGACAAAAGGCCTGAAAAAATATCCTTTTAGCTGCACAACTTGCCTGCAAAGTAATGGTGTCAAAAATACCCGATTTACATCCATTTTTACCTCCATGCAAGCAAAATCACATTTTGAAAAGGAGCATTTACATAACTTTGATAAAAATCTTACTTTTCCTGTTAAAAAAATAATAAAAATGAGCACTATTTTAACATTTTCACCAAAGTAAAATTTCATTTTGTCATTCGCACCAAAGTACATTGCTATAAACTGAATATTATTCCATTTGGATCTATTATATTTTGATTTATGGCAGGTTGAAAACAAAGAGCATCTCTAAAATAGACATGATGATTTATGATCAATATTATATAGTTTTCTTTCCAGGGCATTTTGGACATTTAAGTAATAGTGAATCCTTACTACCATGAAGAATGATGCATAATAAAGACCCTTAGCCTCAAAGATGCCACGATCACCGAACAGGGTGCCATCATCCATGCAAATTACAAGGCATTTTGGATGTTAGTAAATTTGGAAATAAAAAGAAAAAATGTTAAATTATGAAAATGACGATCAATATATACCTAACCACCTGATGCTCAAGCTTCTCAAATTGGTCTTCGTTTATTTGATTTCCATCAACTCCAAATTTGAATTGGGTTTATGAGTTCACTCTTTGAAGTTGAAAAACACGTACCTTTGCTATGATTAAACTAATATATACGAAAATCCGGCATCATTGAAATGACAGTAATTGTTAGAACCATCTTAATTAATATTGTAAAGTTGTATGGTTGCTGATTTTAAAAGTGAGAACATTATGTAAACACATTGAATTTTATTCATGAATGTGTTTTCATTATGTTTAATCCTTTGATGCATTCAATGTGTTTACATAATGTTTACATAATGTTCTCAAAGGATTTATGTTCTCAAAGGATTTCAGTGAAAGCATATGCCTCAAAGGATTCAACTTATGTCTGTAGGTTCCGTTCAATCATCGACTGCCTATGAAGACATATATACAAGAGAAAAATTCATATTAGTGGTACAAAAAAGGTATCCCAATAATCAACGCTAATAAATGCGAGAAAATTCATATTAGTGATACAAAAAGGCATCCCAATAATCAACACTAATGAGAGCATATTGTTTTAAAGAACATTTATGTTAGGAAACGTAACCTATAATCTTGTCATTAAAAATTTGATCTTATAATATCATTTATATATTTTTCTTACCTAATTAGGGTCGAAAAATAGAATCCTTCCTTCCAGATCAGCCAATCCATGAATTTTCGGTTTCATACCTTGTTTTAATTGGTTTTATATTTAATACAAAAAAACCCACAAAATTCCATGTGGAATTAAGTTTATTCAGAAAAACCACAAATTTACATGTGGCAAAAAGCTTAAGAATAGGACAAGTGGCAAAAGTATCTTCATTTATTAGGGAGGATTTATTATTTATGTGGTCCATATGAAAACACCTTCCACCCTACTTTAACTAGGGTCATATCCATCCGGTTGACATGTTGACAAATGTATATTGTTTATACCTTGTTTTATAACATATTTCTTTCATTTTTTCCAATATTAACATTGTACAATAAATAAGGAGTTTACACACACACCCCCACTCTCCATTTTGAGAAATAACATTTAACACAAGTCTTATACTTCTAGATAAATGCATAAACGGAAACATGGTTTATTTGTTCATGTATAATAGCTACGCACCTTTTTTTGTTTCATTATTACAACATTTCAATTTTAAAACTTTTTCCTTATTAAGACATTTAAATAGTTTTTTAACCCATACCAACATTGTGCTTTCAAATTTTGTCTAATTCAGTAAATATACTTTCAAATGTCGAAAAAATGGCATTTGTGGAATTAAAAACAAAGACACTATATTGATTGCTCAATTGGTGAGGATTATATTTAATTGCAAACTTGAGGGTTGTTTTGATGTTAGAAAATAACATGATTCAAACACTTAAGAAATTAGAGATACGAAATAACGGTTGATAAACCAATATCTTCATAATAAAAACAAACCAGTTATTAACGAACAAACGAAAAATGCAAAATGTCTTATTCTCTACCTCGGAAAGTAACTGGCAAAAAATTCAATCGAAACATAAAAACTTCATGAGAACGATGAGCCGAAATAACATGTTCAACTGCAATACCTATATAGAAATAAAGATTATGATTTCGAAAAACCCACCATTTATTTGACGAAGCCTGTCATTAATGATCATTGTACCCTTGACAATTTTTTTTGTATGAACCAAATTAATTCTAAGATAATATTAAATGTGAAACAGTCTTAACATGAATTCATAAAAATAAACAGAATACTCGAAAATGAATTGAAAATTCAAAAGAATTTCATAAAACACATTAGAACTAAGATAAACACTCTCATCATGCAATAGGAGAACTCGCTTGCATCGAATCTTTATGTGTGGTGTTGTAAAGGATGCGGTGTCCGAATTGTTTGAATGATTAGCTTCTATATTAGCACAAGCATCCTAATTGTTTGTATAATGGCATCGTCTATACAATTGATGATACATTATGTGGTGCAATAGTAGTGACTTGAATAAGTACATTGTTATTGTCGACTAAAAAGATAAGTATGTTGCTATCATGGGCTAAAAAGATATGTATGTTGCTATTATTGGTGAAAGAGCTAAGTACGTGGCTATTATTGGTTAAAAAGATAAATGTTGGTATTAATTGTTAATAAAATAAGTATGTTGCTATTACCGCTTAGATAGATAAGTGTGTCTTTATTATTGGTTACAAAAAATTACGTTGCTACTATCAATTAAAAATATATTATGTCGCCTCTACGGGTAAAATGTGTAAAATAAGTTGAAAAGAACATCACAATGTCTTTAAGTATCAAGGTTGCTTAATGGAGTCTCTCGAAAAGATGTTAGTCAAATACTCAAATATGGCATGACACATGTTCCAACGAAAGTGTAAATAAGTTTGTTTCAATTTGGTGATAAAGACAATATACTTGATATTTATAAGTTGTATTTTGGAAATATAAATAATAAAGAATCACATAATTGGCCTTGATTAACTTTTGTTCGTATATTTTAATGTTATATAACAAAACCTATAACTACTTTGGGTAAATGAATAAATAATATACTCATAGATAAATAAAAAATTGTTCCCGAAAAATATATATGTGAAAAATATAATTTTAGACAATATATTGCATAATGTAGTGATACTAAAAAAGAAACCAACATACTTATTGTTAATTTAACCACACTAAACCAGATTTATTGTTGTTGAAGCAGTTATTTTATAGTTTTAAGTGAAGTACAACAAAACTAACAAAAGTTAGGAATAGATATGTAATTTACATTTACCCTCAACAACCAATATTGTGGCACCAACGTCTTGCCTTATTATTATTATTTTTTTAAATGTACTTATTTTAGCTCTAAAAATTATAAAAAGAACTAGAATCAAAATCATATTTGTCTAACCAAAACTAATTATTTTCTAAATATTTCCATTTCACATTTTAAGCCAGATTGAGACTTATAAAAACCTACTTTACCATAAATAATAAAATAGGAACTGTACTCTAAGTTTTCCCACTACATATTGAAAACAAATGATGAAAAATAAAAATAAAACATGAAAAATATCACTTGAAGGCAACAAAATAAATCAAATGCATAACCATCATATATATAGCATAGCAACTAAAAAAGAATTTAAGGTTCAAAATCTCAAACAAGTAATAAAAGTCTTTATTCTTTTCTTATGGTTGCAATGTACTTTGAAAAATCAACCCAAATGAGAAAAAATTTCAAAGTACAATGCTAACTAGAAGAAAAGAATATGAGTAAAATTTTCAAAGTACAATGTCAATTAGAAGAAAAGAATATTGATGCTAAAATAAACAAATTAACAGAATTACAATACTATAATTAGAAGATATTCCACGTACTTTAATTTATTTGTTTATTATATCTCACACACACACTTTATCCAAAAAGCATAGAAAAAAAAAACATGTGTGTTTGAACTAAAAATGAAGTCGCACCAGGAAGGCATGATCAAGCTTATTTTTTTTCCTATGAAAATGACCATTTTGCCCTTGGAAATTTTAAAAAAGGTATACCACATGAACCCATTTTATAAAATGACAATTTTTAATTGATTGAAATGTTGTCTATATGAACTTAGGGCTGTTGCATTCGAAGCTATTCAGTTTTTATTTTCAGTTTTAAAAACCAAAAACCAAACAGACTTTATGTGACTCGAAACAATCACCTTTATCGCGCAACATCACACAATTTAAGTCTTAAAAACCTTTTTTAGAAACCCAAATGTTTATACAATCAATATTCCTTTTGGGTGTTAGCCACACATTTAAGCAACAAATTAGATCAAACTTATCAAACATTACCTCCGCAATGTCACATAAGATGACTTTCATAAATCAATTTCTTGATGGCAACAGTACGCCCAACATAATTTGAGTACGCCCAGCATACTCAGTACGCTATGTCCTGATGGGTTTGATCGATTTCATAAAACCTGCAACGAAAGCTTTAAAAATAATAATATTATTTTCGAGTTAATAACAAAACCAAACCATCTACAGTCCAATGATAGAGGTAAGAATGATATTACAACAACCATAGGATGTTTTAAAGATAACATTTGAAGCCTTTGAACCCATTTGGTTTTCGGGTGTTGATGAAGATAAAAAAAAATCAAAGAACATGACTTTCTTTACAAGTATCCACCATCAAGATAAAAGCACGTGGAATGCTAGTTCCTTCTTGTATTATTAATTGTCTTAAACCTTTAAGTGCTTAACTCAAATAAGCACTATAAGAGATAACTTAAGAGGTCTTCTAATCACCAAACTAGCTTCAAAAGAGAGAAAGGTGGAGAGCAGAAGAGAGGTTTGAAGCATAAATCAAGGGAAAATAATCCATCTTACACCTAACACAACAAAGAAACTAACTTACAAATTATACAGATATATATATTTCTGGTTTGTTAAAACTATTGAAATGATTTGTAACCTGAAACCAATTTCCTGCCGCTTTAGCCCACACGCACATCTTGTATCCACCACCACTCCCCAACCTAATAACGAAATAATAAAAAAAAAAAAAAAAAAAAAAAACTTCATATAATCAACGCAATAGCACTTGAAATATTCTCCTGATTTTTTCACATCATAAATATGGATATATAAAAAAGTAGACATAATACCATATGGATCCATAACTGTACTGAGATACCAAGATTTTTTTTCAGAACAATGTATGATGATCACCATTTGGATCCATGGATGCTTGTTCCTTTGAGAACTACAAATTAAGTAGAATTTTTTCAAAAATTGAAACCAGAAAAGAAATAAACAAACAGAGGATAGAAGATTACTTGTACAATTGAAGCATTTACAGAGAAATCGAACTCAATTGTGATGATTGATGA